TTATAACATCCTGTCACCAGTACCAACATCACAAGACCAAAATCATTACTGTAACAAGCCACAAAATAAGGCAAATGCCAGTAGAATCAAAAGCAATACTTCCTAACCCCTATGGCTCAGACCATATCGTAACATTAATAGGGGAGTTTCCTTGAACCCTCTATAGTTGACCAGCCTGTCAGTGTCCCAAGAAGGACGAGACCCTTGTGTCTGGCCAGCCTGTCTGTGTCCCAGTGTGGGAACCATACTGGACAGCCCGCTGTATCGGAGGGTGATTCTACTAACCTATGCAGGGACCCACGCTGACAGCATCACTGAATCAAATCCCTTATGGGCTGTTGACAGCACACTGGACCCAAAAGCATTTCCACAAGACACCCTCTGTGTCTTGTAGGACCGAAATCACAAGATGCCCCCTGTTTAGTTATAACAGTCTGTTACTGATACCAAAATCACAAGACCAAAATCCTTAACGTAAGAAGCCACAAAATAAATCAAATAACAACAAGATCAAAAACCATTTCCACAAGACACCCCCTGCATCTTGCAGGACCCAAACCACAGGAAATCCCCTGCTTCCTTTGGGTGTATACCAGTAAAACCCAAAACCTTTTCTGCAAGACACCCCCTGCATCTTGCAGAACCCAAACCACAAGAAGCCCCCTGCTCCTTGTGGGTGCATACCAAACGGACGCTAGCAGCCGGGTACACACCTTTACCTACAAGATTTCCTATCTCGATTTACGGAAGGATTCCAAATCACGTGTACGCTTACCAGGCCAGCTTACCAAGCCAATTTAGAAAGGCGAGATGCCCCCTGCACCTTACAGACTATATCAAAGGAAAGAGTACTGTTTATGAGATGGTCCTTGTCTGCTCGCCTTGACTTACCAAACCGAGATGCCCCCTGCACCTTACAGACTATATCCAAGGAAAGAATACCTTTTATGAGATGGTCCTTGTCTGCTCGCCTTACCAACCGAAGATGCCCCCTGCACATTACAAACTATATAAAAGGAAAGAATACCTTTTATGAGATGGTCCTTGTCTGCTTGCCTTACCAAGCCAAGATGCCCCCTGCACATTATAGACTATAACAAAGGAAAGAGAACATTTTATAAGATGGTCCTTGTCTGCTCGCCTTGCCTTACCAAGCCGAGATGCCCCCTGCACCTTACAGACTATATCAAAGGAAAGAATACCTTTTATGAGATGGTCCTTGTCTGCTCGCCTTACCAAGCCGAGATGCCCCCTGCACCTTACAGACTATATCAAAGGAAAGAGTACCTTTTATGAGATGGTCCTTGTCTGCTCGCCTTACCAACCGAAGATGCCCCCTGCACATTACAAACTATATCAAAGGAAAGAATACCTTTTATAAGATGGTCCTTGTCTGCTCGCCTTACCAAGCCAAGATGCCCCCTGCACCTTATAGACTATATCAAAGGAAAGAGAACCTTTTATGTGATGGTCCTTGTCTGCTCGCCTTACCAACCAAAGATGCCCCCTGCACCTTACAGACTATATCAAAGGAAAGAATACCTTTTATGAGATGGTCCTTGTCTGCTGGCCTTGCCTTACCAAGCCAAGATGCCTCCTGAACCTTACAGAGTATATCAAAGGAAAGAGGACCTTTTATGAGATGGTCCTTGTCTACTTGCCTTACCAAGCCGAGATGTCCCCTGCACCTTACAGACTGTATCAAAGGAAAGAGTACCTTTTGTGAGATGGTCCATGTCTACTCGCCTTACCAAGCCGAGATGCCCCCTGCACCTTACAGACTATATCCAAGGAAGGAGTACCTTTTATGAGATGGTCCTTGTCTGCTCGCCTTACCTTACCAAGCCAAGATGCCCCCTGCACATTATAGACTATATCAAAGGAAAGAGAACCTCTTATGAGATGGTCCTTGTCTGCTCGCCTTGCCTTACCAAGCCGAGATGCCCCCTGCACCTTACAGACTATATTCAAGGAAAGAGTACCTTTTATGAGATGGTCCTTGTCTGCTCGCCTTACCAAGCCGAGATGCCCATTGCACCTTACAGACTATATCAAAGGAAAGAGGACCTTTTATGAGATGGTCCTTGTCTGCTCGCCTTGCCTTACCAAGCCAAGATGCCCCCTGCACCTTACACACTATATCAAAGAAAGAGTACCTTTTATGAGATGGTCCTTGACAGTTAAAGTTGCTGAATCGTTTATAATCCATTTAGCATAACAAATTATATTTGTTATGTAAATCAGCTCTGGACATGCTTCCAGAATGAAGTGTTGTATTCCAGATGAACTAACTTACACAGCTTTTAACAGGTTTAACAAAATGAATTTATTGAAGCCCTGTTGCACAGTAATCACGGATGTGATTATTTACCTTAACTATTTTATTTAGATATTAAAAAACATCACTTGGGAATGATTGAGCGAGAAATGCTAGAAAAACATCAGACACTTCACTCTTCAGCTGAGACACGTTCACTCGCTAAAACACCACTTACTACCTAGACAAATCATCCACAATCCCATACTTACCAGTCAGCTTCTAAAGTCCTTAAAAGCATAGAGATTCATAAGCCCCACAAGTACGATTAAAGTACCACCACAGTGTTGTCTTACGGTCTGCAATCCCACATATATCACAGCTGGAGGCAGAAGCAAATGGTGCTTGTAGGGAGAGAGAAAAGTAAAAGGTGAAGAGAAAGTGCAAATCAGAGACAAGGGGCCAGAGTCTGGGTAAACTGAAGTCTATCACCTTACTCATCACAGGCCAGAGATCTGTTCACTTGGCAGGCAGGGGGAAGGACAGGATGATGTTTGAAGAAGCTTAAATATACCCTACATACATCTTTTGGGTCTCAGTGAGAATCAGGAGGATAGGATTTTAACAAATTATCAGAGTACTAGAGAAAAGCTGCACAATGTAATGTCAGTTGGTCTAGGGCATACCTCATCCTTCTCTTCACTTTTTCTTTTCTTTCTTGGCTTAACCTCTTCTTAAATGGCAGGAGACATATCCCCTTGAATGCTTTAGTTTTTCTTCTTTATTGTCACAATGTGTTTCCCAGGAATTATTTGACTTCTCCCCCCCAAAACTTTACCCCATTCACTTCAACATCAACAGAAGTTTCTCACATCATAATCCTAGACACCTCCGCTTACCCATAGGAACAAATATTGTCTCTACTTCCTTGAAGGTAAATATGTCAGCACCAAATGTTCACAACAATTCTTCAATAACTACTTTAATAGCAAAAAAAAAAAAATATTTATGGTGCTCTCTTACCTGTTATTACAAAGCTGTGTAAAGCACTAACCCTTCTGAGAGCTACTCTGTCCTCCCTCATTCATCACAAGCTTTGTCTATATGGCACTAGCTGAACTGATGAACTAGCAAGAAACTAGCCAGTCTTATTTGGCAGTAGACAGGAAAGAGATGAAGAGATGCATTTTTTATTCCAGTTCTGTAGCAAGAGGAGAAATGCATGTTCTAGCAGCCAGAGGAGGGATTGCTAGGAAATCCACTTTCAGCCCTGTTCACTATTTAGCAATAGAGCCACACAGCATTAATTCAGTTTAGCAGGAGAACTATATCATTAAATACTGTTCAAGCTAACATGCAAGAGTTCAGTCAGAATTGGAAGTCTCAGTATAGTTGCAAGCCTTTCAATTTTTCCTTCCGGAAATAAGCAAAGTTGATATTTTCTTTGCGTAAACTTCAAATATTGGTTTGGTTTTCTGTGGGATGCAAGATACTGTTTTGTTCTTCTGAACCCCCATATAGGTTGGAAGCTCCTATTACGGAAACATCTCTATTACCACAGTATAGGCAATATCACAAAAGTTTTGAGCTGAAATTCCCTGAACACAATCAAACTGGAATGGCACTACAATGTCTTCAACTCTAGAACCTGGGTTAGTTAACTAGTTTTCCCCTCAGGTATGCAAGTTCTATAAACGTATCGAGAGAGGGTATTCTATTAATGTAAGTACCCTCTTTCTGATAGCAAAAGTGGGAGATGGAAAGAATGAACAAGAACTCAGAAATGAACATAAAGTATGAAGTAGTATGAGCAATAATGTTTGTCAGATTCCCAGTGTCACTGAAACATATATTGAGAAAACAACAAAAGTTATTAAAACCTTATAATTAGTACATACTTTCCATAACAAACCATACCTCTTTGTTTAGAGTCTGATCTATTTCAGATTGTCCTTCTTCAGGTAAAGGTACTTCTGCCATAGACAGAAGACTTTCATGGTTAACCTGCTGTTTCAGTTCCTTTATAAAGTCATCTTTCTCAGCCAGCTGTTTCCTTAGTTCTTCTGTATCAGTTTCCTTAGCCTAAAAAACATAGCAAAACATGCCACAAATTGCAGGACTGGCAAAAGAAAATATACACACAAGCATCGTTACTTGGAAGCATCAGTTTTAGAACTCCAAGCTAAACCAGTCAGCTATCCAACAAAAAGCCAACAATTTCATGTATGAGTGGTCACTATTTAAAGTGAAGGGAAGTCATGTAACACCCAGGGAAGATGTAACGTAAATTTTTATTTTACTCATGTGAAGTTATAAATAGTTCACCTCCCACTTGCTCATTAAGTCCCTGGGGCTGTGAAAAAAGCAGCAGCTATGATAACTGTTTCAGATCTCCAGTTCAACTTTGCAATCAAAGGATCAAAGAGACTTCAAATAAACTACTAAATGTTCTGAAACTTTGGTTACTGTTACAAATTCAATTTCAAACATAAAGCTTCTATTTTTAATGAGCTGCTAATGGCTTCAATATGACAGTAAGAATCAAAAAACTGAGCCAAACACAAAAAGTATTGTGTTTTGTAGAATTAATGCATAACAAAGTAAAAAAGAAAAAAAAATCCCGCAAGAACAAGAGAGAGAGAACCTTTCCCAAATCCTTTAGTGCAGCCTGTTTCAGTTCTGCTGTTTCCTTATCTTTTTGTGTTAGAAACCAAAGTCTTGAGCTGTATTTCCAAAGCTTCTACTAATTTCTCTCTTTCTTCACGCCACTTTTGAAGATTGTTGTCCTTTTCTGCCAGCTGTGCAGCAGCAAGACTTTCCTGAATAGGGGAAAAAAAAAGATTAGAATTGAGCACCAGTTCTACGCACTATCTGAACTCTTCTGATAGTTTGGTTTCACATAGCATTACTATTTTATGGCCTGAGTAAACTTGAAAGCCTATATTGATCCTACAAAGCTCGCATAGAGCTGTTTTCACAAAAAAGAATACAAAAGCAAACTACGCTTCAATTAGAAAATCTGCATCTATATTTATACTCTTTGTTAGTAATAAAATCAGAGCGAGCAAGTCTCAGGCAAGCAAAGTCACGGATAACGTTAAAGTAATCTTAAGCTCCTAATACCCTCCTGTACTGATTGCAGATCCAGAAAGTCATTGCCAACTATATCTGGATGCAAATACAGTTTTAGATTGGTCAGATTCATTTCATAATTTTAGATACTCAAGAAATACAACCATGATGCAGCCTGGTGAACAGGTAAGGCATTTACCTTGCTATTGACTCTCAGCTGAAACTGAAACAGGAACAAAACCAGCATTTTAACTAAGTATTTTTACTCTAAATCTCAAAAGATTTTTTGTTAACTTCTGCTTTTAGGAAAAAGCCAAACAAACAATCCTATTTTTCAAAGTATGTTTTCTTAGCTTCAAATAAGCAGCAATTCATGTAAGTGTAGGTTACTGACAGGTGTTTTACACACAAAATAATGTTTGAAGAATTCAGTAAGGTGATGATAGGATAGAAAGGAACAGGCATGTTAACTTCCATTACCTATTAAGATTTTTCATTTTGTGACCCTCCTATTCTTCCCTTTTCTTAACAAGATGGACTCATCTAGGCTTCGCCATGTGATAAAGTGAGGGGATTTTGACAAAGGTCAACTACCCTCAAGCATCCACGCTGTTAATACTTCATATGAGATTTGCTCTGTGCTAAAGACACTAGAGGATTCAATATAATAAGACCTCCAGTCACTTACAATTTCTGCTTCTTTACGTGGTGCTCTCTTTCCTCCTCAGATTTTCTCATTTCCCTGTTGCGAAGGATCTCAGCTTCTTTTACTTGATGTAGGAGTGTCATTTTCTCCTCCAGCCACTTCGTTCTATCACTTTGATACTTTGCCTCATTTTCCTATTTTAATTAAACCAGAAACAAAACCATAGGTAGAGATTAAGACAAAATAAAAATCTCAAAATCCAGATTACCATTAAACGGATTTCTTTCAAAAAGATAAAAATCCTAACACAGTTTTACTCCAGCATATTCCCAAGTGCAAGTACTACATTCTCATATGTTCTTCCGTATTGAGAAAAAATGAACAATTTTCAGCAAGTTTTATTCAGACTGACGCATCTTTATGGAAACTTTTTTTTTCTCGTCTAAAAATGTGCTGAGTGAGCACACTATAAATGTTACACCAGTAAACAGACTCTCAACTTACAGATTCCCAATCTTTTACACTGCCTTGCAGGACATGTTAGAAAACTTACTTCTACTTCAAGACTGGAAGGCAAAGAGTACAGTACAGTTTGAATGGTAGGCAGAGATCCAGCATACCAAAGAATGTCGCTTCAATCCACAGCAACTTTGCCTCCTTTCCTATCACAATCATCTGAATCTCTTGTCAGACATTCACCCACATAAAACAGAAGGCACCCGAATAGCCGCTTGTGGGGAGAGAGGGGAAATCTCTCTAATCCAATGAGAATTAAGTTTAAATCCTCAGCCTAACAAGAAGGGGTTACAGGTCATACAGCAAGTGCAAGATCTTGAAAGTCTCATTTAGTTGCCAAAGCAACTGACAGGAAAGAGGTTTGGAATAGCTATCATGAGTTAGATTAGCTAAGACAACTGTAAGAGAAGCCTAGCTGTAGAAAGACATCTATGGTAGCATAATATAAGGACGAGTGCAGTTCATTACAGGGCTACAGTGATGCCATATGTTACAAAGATACGCATCCAAACTGCTGTACGGGTGCAAAACAGCTTCTAGAGGAGGTTTCCTTTACTAGTGCAACAACTTGCCATATGATGCCCTAGCTCTTGAAGACAGTGACACAGAAAAAAAAAAGATTTCTAAATGAAAGTTATGGCTTTAAAACTAAGTATGAATTACATCACCATATTTTACCTTCAGCTCTTTTTGCAGCTTCATTATTTCCTCATTTTCACTTCTGTTTTTCTCCTCATTTTTGCTCATCTTTTGCTGCCAGTCACTATCGCTCTGGTTATTCAGCTCTCTAAATTTCTGCTTCCATAGTTCCAGTTCTAGTCAGTACACAAAATTAGGTTATATAATATGTAGTTTAAATGCATATTTGAGCACATTCACATCCTTATTCTAAAGTTACTTGAATTTATCAGCTGTGACTGCAAAGGGACAACAAAGCCTTGAACTCTTAGAAGTTTGTTATGTACTACATAAAATTAATGCCTAAATAGCAGTCAACAAATAAAACCATAAATTTAAAGCATCTAATCACAATAGATCCAATATAATTTTGCCTCCCTGCTCCCTTTCCATAGATTACCCAAAACTAATCTGTTGATCTCTTCTAGTTTGGCTTCCATCACTTCTTCTTGTTTAATCTGAGTCTGTTCTTGTTCTCCTAATGTCATCCGCATATCTTCAATTATTTTTTCCTTTGCATACAGGTCTGAAGATTTGAAAAATATTTACAAATGAGCCCTATCATGTTTTAACCTAGTTCAGGTCAGCTGTCCTGGCTGTGCTCCCTCCCAAGTTCTTGTGCTCCTCATCACTAACTGATCCATGAGAAACCACTACTTAACACACCAATGTTTTGTTGTTTTCAACATTAATCTTATACTAAAGCCAAAACACAGCACTGTACCAGCTACTAGGAAGACAATTCTATCCCAGCAGAAAACCAGGACAAGCCCTCTCCCTCCTCACTGCCCAAGACCAAAAGCTCTATTAGAAACAGTGCAACTCTACTATCTGAATCCAAAATTCTTAAGCGACTCCAAGAACTTGATTTAGGCAAACATTTCAGTTTAACATCAGTCTGTGTCTTGTATTATATAGGAAACTAATAATTGTTCAACTGCTGGATGTTTGTCAAGCCTGCAGAAACTGTC